GCCCCGCCTCCACCCCAAACCCTAAACCCTAAACCCTAAACCCTAAACCCTAAACCCTAAACCCCAAACCCCAAACCCTAAACCCTAAACCCTAAATCCTAAACCCCAAACCCCAAACCCTAAACCCCAAACCCCAAACCCTAAACCCTAAACCCTAAACCCCAAACCCCAAACCCTAAACCCTAAACCCTAAACCCTAAACCCTAAACCCTTGCCTGCAGCGTGGCGCCGCGGGCGTAGAAGACGCGGCAAGTGCCCGGAAAAGGGCCCGCGAGGAAAACTTCGCAAAGCGGAATTTTTGCTGCCAGCAAAACTTCGCAGATTTCCAAAGAAGTTCCAAACCGCCACTTCAGCTGCTGCGAAAGCCGCGAGAGACGCCCCAAGTCCTGCTGCAGCAGCTCGCAGTACGCCCCTGCAGCAGCAGCAGCAGCAGCAGCAGCAGCAGCAGCAGCAGCAGCAGCAGCAGCAGCAGCAAGGCAGCAGCAGCAGCAGCAGCAAGGCAGCAGCAGCAGCAGCAGCAGCAGCAGCAGCAGCAGCAGCAGCAGCAGCAGCAGCAGCAGAGGCAGCGCAAATTTGAGGGAAGGGAGGGCCAGTTTGGGGCAGAGGCAGGGCTGAGGCGGCCCAGCGAGGCCATGGGTTTAGGGTTTAGGGTTTAGGGTTTAGGGTTTAGGGTTTAGGGTTTGGTGCCTTGTTTGGGCCGGACGAAGTAGAGCCTGTGTTTGCTGAGGGGCTGTTTGAACTGGAAGTTAAAAGCTGCTGCTTTTCTTCCTTTCAAAAGTCTTTCATTTATCTTTTCTTTCAAACTTAAAGACTTTTCTCCCCGCTGCACTGCTGCTGCTGCTGCTGCTGCTGCTGCTGCTGTGGGGCCCCACAGCCGCTCCTCCTCCTCGATCAGGTCCGCCCAGCCCTCGTATATCTGCTCAGCAGGAGGGTCCCTGCAGCAGCAGCAGCAGCAGCAGCAGCAGCAAAGGCAGCAGCAGCAGCAGCAGCAGCAGGAGTAGCAGCAGCAGTAGCAGGAGTAGCAGCAGCAGTAGGAGTAGCAGCAGCAAATCAGCAGCAGCAGCAAATGCAGCAGCAGCAGCAGTCGCAGTGACAGCAGCAAATGCGCCAGCAGCAGCAGCAGCAAAAAGAGCAGCAGCAGCAGCAGCAGCAGCAGCTAGGTTCTCGCTGAATCGCAGCGCCACTGTCAAACGGTGCAGCAGTGCACAGGGTTGACTCCCCAAGTCAACCAAACCCTAAACCCTAAACCCTAAACCCTAAACCCTAAACCCTAAACCCTTGCCTGGACTCGATTTTGAAGTTTCCATCTTCCCCCAAGACATAATAGGGCCTCTTTAAGTAATGAGTCGCTGCCCTTTTGCTGCAGCAAACCCTGCGGGGGCCCCCAAACCCCACAGACACAAACGCTGCAGCAGGGGCCCCTGCAGCAGCAGCAGAGGGGCCCCCAGCAGCAGCAGCAGCAGCAGCAGCAGCGGGGCCCCCAGCAGCAGCAGGGGGCCCCCTTGTCCCCTTCAGGGTACTCCAAGCTGCGCCTAAGTGGCCCAAAAAAGAGCCTCTGGGGGCCCCTGGGGGGCCCCCCTTGCCCAGGCTTTGCAAGGGGGGCCCCCCGGGGGGCCCCCGGGGGGGCCCCCGGGGGGCCCCCTGGGGGGCCCCCCGGGGGGCCCCCAGACCCTCTTCAACTACTGCAGCAAAATAAAGCCTTTTGGGGCAGCAAATTGAAGGGGAGGGGGGCCCCCAGGAGGCCCCCAGGAGCAGGGGGGCCCCCGGGGGCCCCTGGGGGGCCCCCCAGCAGCAGCGCAGCGCAGCAGCAGCAAGAAGTGCAGCAAGAAGCAATTTGCATAAAGGGGGGGCCCCCCTTAGGGTTTGGGGGGGCCCCCCAAACCCCATTTTGAAGTGGTTCTTTAGGGGCCCCCCGGGGGCCCCCAGTGCTGCCGACTTGCTGCTGCAGGGGAGGGAAGAGAGCCTCCGGGGGATTAAATAGTTTTAAATAAATGCTAAATTCAAAAAATTAGGGTTTAGGGTTTACAGGGTTTAGGGTTTAGGGTTTAGGGTTTAGGGTTTAGAGCCCCGCGAGCCGCAGGGGCCCCAGGCGGCTGCAGGGGCCCCTGCTGCTGCGCGAGCTGCTGCAGTTCCTTTGTCTGGGGCCGCTTGTCTAAACCCTAAACCCTAAACCCTAAACCCTAAACCCTAAACCCTAGACCTCAATTTAAACACTAGACCCTGGGACTCCCAAAAACTTCGGCAGGGCGCCCACCACTTGCTGCTGCTGCAAGACTGAAGCAGCGGCTGCTGCTGCTGCTGCTGCTGCTGCTGGCGCTGCCTCTGCTGCTTCTGCTGCTCTTGTTGCTGCTGCTGCAGCTGCTGCTGCACCTTCGGCTTCATTCCGCTTCTGCTGCTGCCACCCCACAGTCCCCACAAACAGGGTGTTTCTGCAGCATCCCCAGCAACAGCAGCAGCAGCTGCAGCAGCAGCAGCAGCAGCAGCAGCAGCAGCAGCAAACGGCTTCCTTCGTATTGTGTGCAGCA